AACACTTCCAATTCTAAATAAATACATTTAGATCCAACCATTAACATCAAAATTTCTAAAATTCAACCTTTCACATGTGTCTAGCTTGTATTTTCTGGGTACCAAATGTTTAAGAAACATAAAGGGCCATATAATAAAAATTTTCTATATTACATTGCTACATACATGCATAGTTGGTTGCATAACTACAACCATACAATTTTTTCTCCCTTATATCATCTTATTTACATAAATTTAAAACTATAATATTGATGGTTGATACTGTTATTGATGGTTGATACTGTTATTAGTTCACTTAATTTTCACAATTTTAAATAACGTTGGCTTTTGTCTTAAGTAGAAACATACAGCTACATTGACTGCTCTGTGATAATTTCCGTCATAACTTAACAATATTGTCATCAAATGTCATTGCCAATCAGTTGCACTCATACAGTCCTCGAAGAAATACCGTCTCAGGACTAGCAACTTCAACGTGGAGTCATATGTCGCCATGTTACCTAATCCATCGGTAACTCTATAATCTTAAATAATTATAACGTATTTTTAAAACTAAATGTAATTAAACATCTGTTAACGGGTTTTTACCCATATATTTAATCTTGGTGGTTACATTCATGTACTCCTAGTAAGTATTAACCACATTTTTCATTAACCTTAGTCAAAATTTTAACCTATGTTCTTTTTGATTAAGTGGTTAACTATTTTCTAGGACACTGATGATGGAACATGATTTCCGAAAACGTTATGTTTTTTTAACTTAGCCCGTTTGGGCCTTAAATATATACCTATTACAAAGGATTTTTAATTAAATTTTTAATACATGGTATACAGCCAACTACAGGAACGTAGATTCCTTGTTGATGTATAAATGGTCAATGGTAATAAATTACATGACTTTTTATTATTGTTCTGAAGCTATTTTCTTGTGGCATTTTAAATTAATTACTATTTAACTGGGAATAAGCCACAATTAAAGATAAAAAAATACGTTTAATGACGTTTCAATTTCCACTTCGGAAATCGTTCTCAAAATACAAACAGTAAATTAAACAAATTTTGTTTTTTGTTACATAGTGAAAAATTCTTCTAATAATTTAATTTTATCTGACTCATTTATATTGACAATTCAGACATACATTATGCATTTTAAAGTAGACGACTTTAAAATGATATTGCCAATATTGTTGAGTTGCGCTCCTGGGACGACTTTACTTATAAGATAGTTCATTCGATTACATGAAATCAACTTTAACTTGAGAATATCCGTCAGAAAAAAAATCATAGCATGTAATTCGTCTTTAAAAAGACAAACACATGACATGATGACAATAAAATTCTCCTGTTAGTGATTCCATAGTAAATTATGAGGGAAAAACCATAAAAAACCTCATATATTACGTCTACACAAAATCTAGTTTTTTTTAATCAACCATCAACTAGTTGGCTTACCAGTGAGAAACCGTAGATTCGTAAATGACGAATAATGATTTAAAATGCAGAGATTTTCTGGTAAAAATGAAGGTAAAAAAAAACAAAAGAAAGAGTTAAGAAGCTGGTTACTTCTCTAAAAAAAAAACAAAAAAAGGATTGTACTATTGAAATTTAATCAGTACAAGAAAAAGAACCTGATAAAGATGACTTAAGTCCATGATGTATTTTTGATGAATTAATTGGACATGACTCATCTAAACATACACCTGTATCGAGAGTAATGAAAGAAGTCGACATGTATTTGTCTGATGATATATTACCCACAAAAAATTTCGAACGGAGATTGAAACTTTCCATTACATTGGTGGAAAAACCATCGCCATGTATATCCTAACTTAACCACTATATTCATAAAATATTGTAGTATTGTAACAAAATCTGTTCCTTGTGAACACATGTTCAAAATCTGGTTTAGTTTTAAATAAAAGAAGAACACGGTTAACAAGAAAAGTGGAAAATTTTATGTTTTTAAATGTCAATTTAGACGATTCGCTATTTAATAATATTGTGTAATGTAAATGTAAGTACTATTTACTATTTGTCTTGTTTAATTTGTTTTTCAAGTTATAATAAATATATCCTTCGTTAGTTTCTTTCACTTTAATTCATATACACATACCCTTCATCTAATTTATATAACGATGCACGTCATCGGTGTCATAGCCTGTGACGTCATATGATACCAACACGAAATATTTAGGGTTTAGGTGTGTTCTTTTTAGAATCACTTTACCGAGTACACTGACATTACACCCACTAGACATATTTTATTATATACGCGTAGAAATAATATTTAAAAATTTCTATTAATGTTAACTTAAAGAAATACACAATAATATGTTTCATTTAATTTGTATAAATGCATTATAAAGAGTTTTTATCAAGAACATTTGTTCGGAACACACTGTAACTGTAATCGAACGAAGGTAAAATTTTGGCATAAATTGGTAACACTTATTTGACAGTTGCGCTGTTGACACTTTTTGTACTTTATTATTTTGAATTTTAAAGTGAATACCTCTTGGTTTATATTTTTACCTATTTAATAAAATCTGTTCTTTTTAGAATGCTAGCATTCGTCTGAAGATGTTAAAGAAATTTAACGAAATATAACGAAATCGTTGAAAAGAGCACACTTTGGCTTTCATTATTCAGCTGCTAACTCAATCAACCTTACCATTATACTATATATATATATATATATATATATATATATATATATATATATATATATATATATATATATATATATATATATATATATATATATATATATATATATATATATATATATATATATATATATATATATATATATATGTTCGGAAAGATTTCCGCGGTTAGTACAATGAAACTTAGAGCTAAAATTAATATTATTACTAAAATTAATATCAAACTCACCAGTCTTCCGGGTTGAACCGCGTCGATATCCATTTTGCCGAGCTTTCGGCATCCTCTCTGATGCCTTCCTCAGGGCTTCCGAGCTCTCAGTCTCCCGAGCCCCCAGACACTACTACACTGTTCACTGATCACTGCGCTGTCACTACTACGGCTTGGAACAGGAGACGGTTCATTTATACCGTCGATGATGGCGTGGCCTAGGTGGGAGTTGGGGTGGGGGGCGCGAGAGTTGGCGCTGGGTTTGGCGCGAGAGTTGGCGTGAACATTTCCGACTGTGGAATTTTGATTCGAGGATGGAGGGGGCGATATTTTCTTTATGAGCGGTCTCCATGTAGAAGGTAACAGTATGGCGTCATCTCTTTTATTAAGACAATTTGGCCTTTTTTCTATTTCTATGGCTTCTCGGATAATTCTTGGTTTATAGAAGCGGATGGGGGCTATGGTTCTGGAGTTTTCAAAATCAATTTTATGACCTGTATGAAGATGGTGTTGACCGAGAGCGAAATTGAATCAGAATTGCGAACAGAAATGGAATGTTCATAAATCCTATTTTGGATTCTACGATTTGTTTGGCCTATATAGGATCGGGGACAGTCTGCACAAGGTATTTCATAAACGGTATAAATGAACCGTCTCCTATTCCCAGCCGTAGTAGTGACAGCGCAGTGATCAGTGAACAGTGTAGTTGTGTCTGGGGGCTCGGGAGACTGAGACCTCGGAAGCCCTGAGGAAGGCATCAGAGAGGATGCCGAAAGCTCGGCAAAATGAATATCGACGCGGTTCAACCCGGAAGACTGGTGAGTTTGATATTAATTTTAGCTCTAAGTTTCATATATATATATATATATATATATATATATATATATATATATATATATATATATATATATATATATATATATATATATATATATATATATATATATATATATATATATATATATATATATATATATATATATATATATATATATAAATGTAAACAGCATACTATTGCTTACTTTAACCTAATATTTTGTCTTGCTTCACAATAGTAACCTAATTAACAAAATGAGTACGGAAACTATTAAGACGAAGCAATCGAGCACGAATTTAATAGCTGATACTATAACAACAACGATAAACACGGATTGCAACAATTTTTCGCATGTTTTAAATAACATTTTTCCAGATTGATCATCTACCAATGCAATTTCCACTAAGATATTATCCAGACCATTTAATTTTCAATAATCAACAAAATGTAATATGATCTTAAGTCTAAATTTGATGGTAATACGATCTTCGCCGTCGCAGCACATATTTCCTTGTCGATAATAGTTTTTAGATATTTAGATAACATGAATAATCTTTTAATGATAAGTTTGGATTTAAGAAATTAATTCCGGTAAAAGCTTTAATGGTAGGAAATCACGTACCTATATTACCATAATAGTAAGGCAAGATCGGATAATTACGAAATTCACAAAACGACAAAGGCACGAACAGAGACATAACGATAGAATTAATTTCTAATAAATTAATTAAATTCTAAAAAATAGCGAATAATCACTCCGCTGGAGTTGTATAATATCCTAATTGTTGACAGTTATAAAATCGGTTCTTAACAATGAATCACCCTTCTTATTTTCTTGTCGGAGTATAGAAGCTGTATCAACTTGCTGGAAACACTTTCGAATTTCTTTTTCTGTTTTCGAAGTTTCATTGAATCTCGTATCGGTCTTTTTAGAAATATCTAGTTTTTCATTGGTTTTTTTAATCTGTTGACTGAAACTCGAATTTTTCTGTCATCTCCATTGGTGAGAGAAATGACTACACGGTAAAATGTTTTAGCCAATTGTCGACCGAACACACGCGAATTTTTAGAAATTGGCTCTTCAGTCTTTAATAGTCTTTACGAAAACCGTAAAAAGTTTTTACTATAATTTATTTTTATTTTAAAATTTATTTAAACGATAAACACCACACTGACATCAATTGTAACGGAATTACATTTTTATTTATTGCTACAATTGTTTTATTTCATTCTAAAATACCGACTAATCATAAAACCCCTCTTTTTATATGTATACAAAAACATAAGAGAAACTAAATATATTTTTTAGGCAAGCTGTTTACCTGTTCACATTTTGAATCCACCGCCCGGTAGCACAGTCTTAGATATGTGTGCCGCTCCTGGTATGAAAACTACACACTTAGCTGCGGTCCTAAATGATCAAGGTACTGTGTATGCTACTGAAAGAAATCCAAGACGTTTTGAAGTTCTCAATAATATTGTATTTGCATCTGGAGCGAATTGTATAAAAACTTTTAATAAGGATGTGCTGGATTGTACAAAAGCTGATTTTCCTGATGTGGAATACATTTTGGTAGATCCTAGTTGTTCTGGAACAGGTAAATGGAACTTAACTGTTGATATTATTATTAGGATGAGGCTTCAATTACTAAGAAACGAATCCTCAGTCAATGAAAAAAACAAAAACGGGATATAGCACTCCAAGAGTGACCGAGGAGGGGTAGTTAAATTTTGCTTATCGTCTACGCAGGATCTGGTGGTTTTTAATTTTATTTAATTTTAAATAAAAATAACTTTAAATCACTAAAGAAAATTTTTCGACAAACAACTACATCAATAATATACTTTTCTTCTTCTGGTTTTTACTTTAACATTTCTCTTCAAGAAAACCTCTATATTTGTCAAAGTGCAGTAAAGCCGATGACTATTAAATACCAGTCAACCATAACGGAGCTTTGAGTATGTCTCTACGGAAATATAATAGCATTCTTTATATCAGTATGTAAGTAACATTTATGTCATTTTAATTTTGTGCTCCTAAAAACTATACAAATATTGGCATAATTTATAATAATTTTTCACCTGACAGGACCCTAATTGTGTCAATTTTGTATTTGTATACCCTGAATTCAATAGGATTGTCAGGGCAGACATTTTGTAGTTCGTTAACACTCGGTGGTAAGCGGCTATATATTTATTTCTTTATTAGCACACAAAAATCCACTTCTCAATTATCATTTTTGATGGTTACATCTGTAGGAAGTCCGAACTAGACTCGCCTTGTTGCGAAATTTATTATTTAGTAACGTTTGCAGCTTATCCGTGGCATTGAGGTATATCCTGAGTGCCAATATAGAGACAGGCGGACACCGTTATTTCTTTTCGAAAGTAATATTCTTAATGGAATACGGCAATATTGTGAAAACTCACCCACAAATAACCATTAAAATCAGGTGCCTGGTAGTATTTCATGAGCGTACCGTCGGGTAACATCATGGCATCAAAACCAACGTGCAGTACATCTGTTAATAAACAAAATAAAAAAAGGTGGTTATCTGTGAGAGGAAATCAAATGATAAAATCGGTTTATGAGGGATTGCGTAGAAGATATCAAGATATGCTTATAGAGGACGTCGCGGCGCAATTCAAGGTAACAAACCTATCCAAAACCCAATCCATAAAGGATGTGCAAAAATTTAATTGGACGATAGTACGAAAAGTATAGATCATGGATTCATGGATTTTATTTTAGGAACGAACTGCCCACGTTAAAGGCTATTCAACGAGAAGTGAATGCAGACGCAGATTATACTTTAAATAAAATATAAATACAAAAATATTCGAATATTTTGGAATTTTTCTTTGCACAGTTCTTTTTGTGTAGTCACTATTATTTCAATTTTAGATTACTGATTTTACTCATATAGTAGACTGATATACTCAATTGATATGAAATATTTTAACGTTTATTCAGCGTTTAGTGTCATTCGTGCATTTTATCATAAAAAGCATTCTTCACGTAAAGGTAAAAAAAAGGTAAAGAATCATAGTAATTTGGTTATTTTTAGTTTAAACTATTAAGTTTGATTAAATATTGTTTTGATTCAAGTAAATTTAACACTAATATGCCCCCTATACCTAAATTAGACACTGTGATGAAGCCCAAGCAACACAGATTGTCATTTTTTACGAGGAAGGATATACACAAAAAAATATCGCACGGCGTCTCAGGAGAAGTCAATCTACAGTTTCGAATATTTTAAAAAGGTACCATGAGGCAGGTAATTTTGTACGAAGGCCTAGTCAAGGACGTCCAAGGTGTACAACCGCAATTGATGACCATTTTTTGGTTCTTAATTCTACAAGAAATCACTCTTTAACATCGATGAACCTCAGAAATGAGCTGCTAAATGTTAGACAAGTTAATGTGAGCTCAAAAACAGTTAGACGAAGATTAAAAGAAGCAGACTTAAAGCCTAGACATCCTGCAAAAGTTCCACGTCTTTTCCAAAATCATATCGTCGTTTAGAATTTGCAAGAAGACATATTCATTGGAATATCGACCACTGGACAAATGTTCTTTTCACTGATGAGACAAGAATCCTATTATATAAGCCAGATGGTCGAAACCACGTCTACAGAATAATTGGAGAACGATTCGCCACCTGCAATCTTACCCAGACCGTTAGTTTTGGAGGTGGTGGCATAATGGTTTGGGGGGTGTTAGTTGGGAGATTCTGCAAGATCATGTTTTGCCATACGTTGGTTACATTGGATATGACAGATTCATGTTAATGCACAATAATGCTCGACCGCATGCTGCTGCCATAGTAAGGAAATATCTTGATGAGATCCAAATTCAAAGATTGGATTGGTTACCATTTAGTCCAGATTTAAATCCAATAGAGCACATGTGGGATCAGCTAAAACGCCGCATATGACAATGAAATCCCGTTCCAAATACGATAGAGCAGCTTCGGCTTGCTGCACAGGATGAATGGAATGCTAATTCCCAAGGGTGTCTCCAAAATTTACTTGCAAACATGCCAAGAAGGATGCAAGCAGTAATAAAAGCTAGAGGGGGAATACTCGTTACTGAACATATACTTGTGTTAAGTCTTTATTAATTCTAATTTATTGTTTTTATTATTTATCAAAGCTTCTATATTTATAACACTTACAACTTAATTTAAAGTTTATTTATACGAATTTATCTTACAATAATTACTTAATTTATTTTAATACGAGCGTTACATTTTAAAACGCGACGCGATTTATCTTCTCTGACTGATTTCCTACAATGAAAGTCCCGTTATTTATACTCAAATACAGCTGTCGGAATTTCTGAATGGAATTTCTAGAAGGATGTCAACCTTCCTGACCCTCGGCGAAAAGACTGGAACGTTCGAATGGTACGGGACCGGTTTTTATTACCTGGGATTTCTGCCAGCTGGCCAAAGGGTCGTAAAATCTAGACAATTCAGAATTAAAAAAGAATATTTACGAGACATATTAATTTATCGTAACATTGCCACCCTCGTAAAAGATGGTTCCTCCTGGAACCTTGTCGGGACTGGAACTGGAACGGCATGATGGTATCGGCAACTGGACCCTCTTTTACAACTTCCAGTTGTATAAAAATGACAAGGGACGGTTTTCTCTCCGCACCAGTAACTATGCGGATTGCAACAGACTAACACCTGGACTTCGGTGTCTTTAAAGATCTCCTCCACCATATTTCGGATAACCCTCCAATCTAATTAGTGGCACTCCAACTTTGGCATGGCTAACTTTTACACGTCGGACTCTAGTACGTGCTCTCTCAATGGAAGTAAGGCTTCCCATACATCTCGGTAGGTAGGTTGGTCACGGGCAGTGTCTTTTGTTACCAGGTAGAAAAGGTAACGTGATGCATATTGGAGTTTCAAGGCTTTTCCTCGAGCTGGCACTTGGCATTGAAGTTCTGCAACTCGACCGAACTTCCTTCGAAAGACGGATGCTAACCCTGGTGCGTCTTTGATACTGGCCGGGATAATAAGGGCCAGTGAGTAATCATCGGGAAGCGCGAGTAGATCTTGCCTTTCTTCAGTGGTAACACCATGTCTTGATTTTCCGGTACCTCCATAGGCACCCATGAATTCCTCAAACGTGAGGTCGGACACATCTTGGACTTGGTTTACTTCCACTTTTTCATCTACGTCGTGGTCACCTTCGAAAGATGCCAGCCGGTTATGGTGTACTATCATCGGCTTTCCCCTCGGAATCTTGCTTATCCGGTAAATGACATCATTGCTCTTCTCCATAATGAGGTATGGACCTTCCTAAAACTGCTGCAACTTGGGAGAACAACCTTTTCGCTTTTTGGGATTATAGAGATAGATTTTGTCGTTCTTCTTAAAACACCCCTTTTCGGCTTGCGTATCGTACCGTTTCTTCATTCGGTCACTAGCGATCTGAAGATGGGAACAGACCAACTCGTGTACATCGTCCATTCTTCTTCGTAATTCGATCACATAATCTTCACCTGCTACATCTTCTCCAGGTCGACACCCAAACTCTAGACCACAAGGTAGTCGCATCTCGCGTCCGAATAGGACTCTGGCTGGTGTCTGGCCTGTCGATTAGTTAATAGCAGATCTGTAGGCCAGTGTAAAGAACGGAAGATATTGGTCCCAGTCTCGCTGATGATCGGACACCATCTTTGTCAAATACTTGCCAACTGTCCTATTCATCCGTTTTACCATACCATCCGATTGCGGATGATATGCTGTAGTTCTTGTTTCCTTCATGCCTAGTCTATCACATATTCCTTGAAATAGATCGCTTTCGAAGTTCTTGCCTTGGTCACTATGGATTTCCAAAGGCACTCCAAATCGGCTGATATATTCTTGGATCAACTTATCTGCAACTTTGGCGGCCTTCTGGTCTGGAAGTGCGTAAATCTCGACCCACTTAGTGAAGTAATGCATTACTACCAACATGTACTTGCCTTCATTTTCACTTTCTGGAAATGGTCCAGCAATGTCTAAAGCTAGTCTTTCAAACGGGCTTCCAACATTATATTGTCTCATAGGAGCTCTCCTTTTTCGGTAAGGCCCGTTACTCGTAGCACAAATAGTACATTTCTTACACCAGTCTTTTACGTCGTCGGAACTGTTCATCCAATAAAACCGGGCCTGAATTCGCTGAAGGGTCTTCTTTACACCAAAATGTCCTCCTGATGGACTGTCGTGTAACTGACGAAGTACTTCGGCTGTTCTGCTCTTTGGGATCACCAAGTGTCTCCTCTTCTCTGAACCGTCATCATTTTCCAGGACTCGTTTGAGCAAGCCATCTTCATGATAAATGAGTCCCACTGGCCCAATACGTCTTAACTGCTGAGCATAGATTTGATATTTCTTGCCAAGCTGGTCGACGGTTTTGCTCTTTCCATTTTCGAATTTTCTGTACAACTGGATCTCTCTCTTGCTCTTCCCTTATCTTGGTAGGCGTCCAGTCGTCGTTGACCATCGTCGTTCTTAGCACTGCTGCTTCCTTGGATTCCGTTTTGTTGCAGTGGGAACACTCCGCTGGGCATAGCCTTCTGGAAAGAGAATCA